AGTCACAGGTAATTTCTAGTGTAGAATAACATACCTACGTGTAGTAGGTATCACTTACGTTTCTTTCACATTAAAAATGTATGAAAACTTAGTTTACTCGTGTTCAGAATTCCCATCACGCGCATGTATAAGAACCATTACTTTTCAGGACATCTAATTTACCCGAAGTCAACTTATATGGCGATACGATACGACTCAAGGGTTGGGTTGCATAAATTATCTTTTACTTGATCACGAATCGACCGTACTCGATAATGTGACTACGCCCGTACTCTCAAAATAAGTAGCCATTGTGTGTATCTCAACGACGTCCTTGGATATAATAACAATTGTAGTAATAAATAACCCTGGACAATTAACACAGCGCCACTTAGTACCACGGTAAGCATAGCTTGTGTTGTGAATTGACTGACAACTGATGTATTTTTAAATAATTCCCCTCCGATCCAATTCAAACGGGGATCGATATTACGACGGCCTGAGCCGAGGTTCGAACCCCTAGTGGTGCCCTCAGATTAAAGTCGTATCCGTCAGGCAGTCTTTCTGCGGGTTTGGAGTGCTATCTGCACACGCCCCCTAACGTCCGGTGAAGCTGTAAAGGCCAGCTGCGGCAAACAGCATTAGAGTAGTCCAAAAAAATAAAGTATGAATATTCCATCATGACAGTTTAGATCTCTGACTCTAATGAAGAATAAAAATCTTGATTTTTTTTTAGGTTAATTTATTTACATGTATGATATTCCATCATTGCAGTTTAAGCGTCGGTCGGGCATTCGTCAAGTTGAACGCATTTTTGCACAGTAACAAGCCGAGTAGTCGCAGATCATTCCAATATTGCCGATAATTTTTTTTAGGACTGCTCTAATGTAAGAGTAGTCTAAAAAAAAATACATACATTTTTTATTATTATTAATGTAGCGACCAATCGAAACACCACCGAAGCCGTGAAATTAAAATTCATCTTACTAATATTATAAATGGGAAAGTTTGTTCGTATGAATGGACGTTTGTTACTCTTTCACGCAAAATCTACTTATCGGATTTTGATAAAACTTTACAGTAACATAGATTATACATCAGAATAACACATAGACTATAATTTAAAAAGATATTATGTAAATTGGGCGATATATAATAATAAGTGTGCAGACGAAGTCGCTCGGGTCAGCAAGTAGTTTAATAATTATTATCATGTCAAATCATTACACAGTATAAAACAGAGTCGCTGTCGCTGTCTGTCCATCCCTATGTATGTTTAAATCTTTAAAACTACGCAACGGATTTTGAAGCGGGATTTTTTAATAGATAGAGTAATTCTAGAGGAAGGTTTACATATATTATAATACATGTATACCCGGGTTAAGCCGGGGTGAGTAGGTAGTTTTAATTACAATATTCACCGTAATATAACTTTACTATAAAACCTATTTATAGCTATAAAGATGACCTTTTTCCAAAGTTGCGCAATTTGTCTCACTTCGCCTTTGTTTAAAATAAATTCTCCCGCCACGAGGTTTTTTGCTGTACCATTCATCAGCGGTGTCACATTTGGGTTAAAAATAATTAATAATATTCCAAAAATTGTTTATAAACTTATGCAAAAATGAATTGTGCTTAAAAGCGGCTTATTCACTGAGCCAACTTTGTAATTTATCTTCTTTTCCTGGTATTTTTTTATTAGATATTAATAAATTTAATTATAATATATATACATGTGTTTGTATAGCTACGTACAATCATCATTACATACTATAGCTATGTATTGTTGTATACAGCCCTTAAATTTTCATATTGTTACTTTTGAATGCAAAGCAAACGAAATTTATAAATAAACCCACTACTACTGAGGCCATTTGTGTTCGATTACTAAGCCAGGAAATATTATCATTTATGCGGGTAGTTATTACTAAGAATTTGCTACTTCTACCGCCTCTATTACACATATTTTGTTAAGTACTTTTGTAGTTGTCAGTCAGTTCTTAGTAAGTAGATTTGATATGTCATGAATAAAGATATTTTGATTTTATTTTTGATTTTTACTACTCTTACCACTAAAAGATTTATCCAATTATATATTGTTTTACAACAATATCAAGCATCTTACCTTCCTAATAACGTCCATAGTTAATAATACTCTAGATCCCCATTTAGGAACAGTCCTGAATTCACATCATACATATTATTATCATGTAAATGACGTTGTAGGTAAAAGCCAGTCATAGTGTATATAAAGTTCTCTGAAAGCGTAACACTTGATGTATCCAAAAATAGCTCGCAGGTATATTATCTATAAGATTACATTAATAAAAACATACGGCTTTAATTCCTGTATCTTTGTACTGTAGATACTAATAAAAAAAATGTATTTTTTTTTGACTTAACAGATTTACTGGACGAAAAGTGGTCTTACACAGAACGTTGTCTAAACTTGCGAAGAGACTTATAGAACGGCTGAAGCCCAACTCCTGATAGGACGTTAGTCTGTAGGCACCGATCCCCTATAGGTGCCCTAAGACTAAAGTCGTATTTAGAACCTATGCATTAAATTGCCGTTATTTCTATCTCAGGTGGAATGAAACAGAGAATAAGATCACAGGAAAAAATTGTACTAAATGAAAAACCCTGCGGAAGACAGATATTAGTACCATATATATTCTACTACTAGTGAGACAATATAGGTATATCATGGAATAAATTAATATATATTCTATTCAACCATCATAAACGGTACATAGGCTGTAATAATCGTGGTAAACGGTTACTGCTTATGTACTGACACTGCAAATTAAACAAGCATATGGCTAAACTAGGCCTACACACGACAAAAATCTACAGATTCTGCCAAACTGAAGAGGAAACGCCACTACACATCCTATGTGGTTGTAGCCCACTCACGCATAAACGAAATATCTCCTTTGGAAAGTTTACACTCTTTCCCGAGGAGATAAAAACCATCGCTCCTAAGAATATCCTTCGATTCTTGTCCCTGTCTAGGCAACGAACTTTGAAAAGGGCGAGCACAATACATCTATGTAGGTCGAAGTGCAACAGGTGCTACAAACATCTGAAAATAGCCCAAACAACCCAATTAAAAAAAAACATGCCTATGTATATATGGATGCCTGAAACGCCAGGGTTTATAAAGTATGTATTGGCAACCCTTAAGAAATCTTAATACATATACCCTTCCTGAAAAACCCTATGCTATAATCTCTGGAGAAAACCTCGCCAGGTAGTTCATTCCACAATCTGAGCGTAGTTACGTCATACAACGCTACCATACTGGTATTAACAGTTCAGAAATGAGATCTTAATGAGATTTGACATGTATTGTATTATGAGTATATGTAATATATTACTTTGTCTATCATAAAAGCAATTTTTTTAAACAGGCGAATCTCTGATAACAGCTAAGGGAAAGTAAGATAAGAAACAGTTTATTTATATTAGGCATTTATTTAAATGAAGAGAGAAAATAAAAATTACATAATTACAAGATCTGTTAATAAAAAACAAACATTGATATTTAAAATATACAATAAAATATTTAATAATCATCAAGTATCAATTATATGTTTTTTTAATGTTCGGTACAAGAAATAAAATCAGTTGATTTTATTCTTTTCTTTATTCTGTAGATTGCTATTAACCGGATATAATTTCTAAAACCATAAGCGAAATAACATTATTTTAAACTATACTACTTTCATTGACCTTTTATTTATTTTTGTTAATCTTATATAATATTGTATATTGTGTTAAAATCATAGATGAAATAATTCAGCGTATGTTCACTAAAGTTGCCCTTTTAGGCTTATCGGCCTTTATTAGGATTTATCAGCATTAACTAAAGTGGTCTACATTTAATCTGGTTATATAGTTCTGGTTAACTCGCCCTGTCCTATCGACCAACCTTCACGCTAGATCCTTTACGGCATAGGCAGAGAGAATCGAATCTAGGACTGTACTATAATCTTCTTAATATTATAATCGCGAAAGTTTCTGAGTATGGATGGATGTTAATTACTCTTTCACGCAAAAACTACTGACCGAATTTTGTTGAAACTTTACAGTGATATAGTTTATACATTAGAATAATACATAGGCTATAAATTTCATGTGGGTGAAATCGCGGGCACAGCTAGTATACGTAGTATACCATATATTGCAATATCCCGAACACAGTTATTCCCGTCAATGTACTTATATATAAAATGAATATAATAATTCTGTACAACATGAAGAAAATGCTGCAATATTGCTGCTATTCAAGTGTCTAAATAGCTACAAGGAAAATTAAACTTAAACTATCTATTATTTTGGATATTCAATTGTTTTTAACTTATGTATAATACCATAGTCAATTTAATATCAAATTTAATTTTTATTTTTTTCTCGCCCTTCTTTTTTTTAAGGTATACCTATGGACTTATATAGTAGTAAATAATTTACCGAAATAAGTGTATGTAAACCTCCATACATTTTTTTTTATTATTAACAGAGACTATTTCGTAGTTTATTATGTTTAATTAAGTATGTATATAGGTACAAGTAAATAGTACTAATGCTAGATATACTTGAAAAAAAAAACTTACCTATTGTACTTACTTTAAAACTTTCTTAAATTATAAAATTGAACAGTATTTTTAAAATATTAATCTAAACAAAAATTACGTTTCAATTTCTTTGTAAGCTAACTAAAATAAATTAGGTTATCATATATATCATGTACTTGAAAGTACCCCATAATTATAGGTACCTACGTACCTACTGGTAGTCTGTCGTTCTCCCGTCTGATAGAGACATTTGTTTATATCCGAGATAGTTAATATACCTTCAATTATAAATGTTAAATATATACTAAATAATAATAGATACATATTATGAATGAATTATTTATATAATTATTAATTTATACATATATGCATATTATAAAAGTTTTTCGCACGGTTTTCCTGCACGTTTGTTTTTGCACTGACACGTTTTTTACCGCCATCTAGTTACAACTGGCGGCAACTGCTGCTCATTACGGAGCCGGAGGCGCAAGTTCACATCGCCGGCAAGTCGACTTGCCATCTGATGATGAAGACATTCGCCAACTATTTGAAGAAAGAAAACATTACCTACATCCCATGGGACACAACTTCCGACGGCGGAAAAAACAACACAGAAAACTTGAAGATATATCTCAATTACAGGTATACAAGTAAGTGCTTAATTTATTTTATCTCCGATGCGGTATTAATATAGGTAGGTATACTGCTTAAAATGGTAAGTAACAATAATTTATGCTTATATATTTTTATTATATTAAGTTTATTTAATGCCTGCTGATAACAAATAATAGAGGGCGCTGTCAGTTATAATATTTTAACTAACACAATATTTTACATAATAATATTCAACATCTAATAATATCCTTATTCATACAGCCTTAGTGTTCAGTATGTTGTGTTATTGCAACCACCCGATAGATGGCACTATATAAGAAATTCAGTAAAGCACTGCTTAAACTACGGCAGTGTTTCTTCTACTCGATAATAGATGTCGCTAGTAGTAAATCTTGCATTTTAGATTCGAATGGAGCCGGGCAGTTTTGCTTTTCGACACCCCCGCCTACGACGAATACCTCGGTGGTAGCGGAGGATTTTTATTAGCAAGCACTATACATACATATTTGATCATCGAAGGTTTTACTGTGGTCGCCAAGGAATTACTTGCAAGCGAGAGTCATGAAGACATGCTATTAGTAGATGTAGGGAACGCATATGCAAGTGAGTTTGGTTTGAGAAGTGTGTACCGTTGTTTTGGTTTTCAATGACACTAGCTTACAGCACCACAGTTGGTAATGAGTAGGTATATACTACATGTAACAGAATTAATTCAAAGTAGTCAGTAATTAGGAATTAGGAAGAGTAGGTACTATGTTTATTAACTATATAAATAAAGTTTCTTTTTTCTGAATAGTTGTCGCAAGTGAGATTTTTTTACCACCCACGTTGTTGTTCCTTAGGATTTTGCATTATGGGGCTACATTCTTACATAAACCAGTACTTATCTTAATTTGTTATATATTTCGGTTTTATTCAAATATGTACGTACGTCTACATATAATACCAGTGGTGTAGTCTGTGAAGACCATAGTCATAGTTATTATTTTTTATTCTATCGCTCGTTCGGTACTAGTCTTATCATAAGAAGAACTAACAAGAAACTTCGAGTGTGCTCACATTATAAAGGAGTATTGTGCACCCTCCTGCGCTAACGGTTTACACGGGCGGGGCACCAGTGGAGGATGACAAGATGAACATGAGGTCAGGTCAGTTATCTCACCGTGGCAAATTAACCAGGAATTTATCACGATGGTTTCCCGGGGGAACCACGTGGAGGTCAACCTGACATGGTACATTGCCTGTAATGAGGTTATGAGTTCACATTACTAGTCCCCTTTCCCCCAGGACAACGGGTTATGACTACGTAGGCTTGCGACTGGACGAGCAGTCTATGTCCATAAGTGGACTGATGATGATGATTATCATTACATTTCCAGAGAAGACGTAAGGCGTTAATCATACAGCGTATTCGGCACGGGCCGTCAGATCAGAATTTTATAATGTGACTCCACCCTATTAACAAATTGTAATTGGTATTATTAAAATAGCTGTTGTTAATTCTGTTACATGTTGTATAATAGGTATGGTCTTCTGTACCGCGATATTATAAGTAGGTACGTACTTTATTTTCTATCAGGTAGTGGTAGGTGTCTAAGTTTTTAAAATTTCAAGTCATACTTGTGTAATACATATATCATAATTAGTAATATTTATGACAGTTGGAATTCCGTTATTGACATAAATTTAACACCTATTGAAATTAAAACAATGTCTATTAGGTATATAATATTTTAAACTATTATATATTTATAATATATATTAAATTAGTTGACTTATAAGAATTTTAAAATTAACTGATTATGTTAATTTTAAAATTCTACGTGGTTTTTAGACCAACTTTATTGTCACTTTAATGGGTTGAAATATCTTAAAAGGATAATTTGAAACACTTTAATAAGGTTGTTTTCGATATACGCGGTAAGTCAGTTTAGAAAATTTCTTGTTCACTGAATGAGGGGTGCCGTAGAAGATATTTTTTTTGCACTTTATTACGGTCCCCATAAATAAAAGGTTTTTAGGTTTTTTCAATTAATTTAGTCTCAATTTTTGCGTAGTTCATAATCATAAAAGTTTTAATATCATATATTGCTATTCGTATAAAATAATTTTATTTTCAATTAGAATTTATTGCAAATTATTGGTTCTGGGTAAAAAATAATTGTTATACACAAAAGTTTGCCTGCCTGATATCAATAAATTTAATGTCCATTTCATATAAAATTTCAAATACGGTAACCGATAAAGTGCGAAATGAGTTTGTAAAATAATTAGAATTCATTGGAAGTGATAATAAAGTTGATATTAGGAAAAACATATTAGTTCTAATAAAAAAAAAATAGTTTATTTTATTCATGTAGCCATCATTATTTTTATTACAGCTATTTTATATTTTGTAAGTGACAGAGCACTGCAGAATAATCTTAGTGGGTTAAAGAGGTTTTAGCACTTATGAATTCGTATTCATCTCCATGGATGAATTTATTAATTTGTGTGGATTTTTCACATGCACGTGTTTTTTTTCCTTGCACCAAAGTACACCTTGTTTTTGACTACCGCTATAACCCGTATTTACGTGAAATTCGGCTGCATATGAAAGTTTCCTTTGCTATGTGCTTTTATTTTGTTCCAGAAATGTGTTTTATTAATAAAACTTATAAAAAATGTGATTATATTTTAAGATAATAATTTTCTTCTATTTTTAAAACTCAATACTAATATTATAAATACGTACCTAAATGTGTGTGTCTTTATGTCAATTGGTTAATTACCATTTCATAAAAAATCACTGTCTTACAAGGCTTGGCATAAACTATGTGTTATATTTTATATAAAAAAAATATTTGGAATAGGGTGAGTTCTTCTCTATAGCGTTCCTCACTGGTGCCTCACCAGCATATACCATAAGAGAAGGACAGTTAACTATACCACATTCATATGATAAAATAAAAACTCGAACAGAGTTGGGAATAATGTCTAGTCTCCAATATTTAACAGTTATTTTCCTTCAAGTCTCGCTTACACAGGGTGGACAAACCACCCTGTATAATCAACGTCCATTAAACGTTTGACCTGTCATTTGCAGAGCTAAGCGTTAATGGTAATAGCGAATACGGAGATCACAAAAAGTTTGTCAGTTGCGCGCTATAAAAACCTAATTCTAATTATCATAATGACCCTGGGCAATTCACGTAGAGGTAGACTGTAAAAGTCATACCCACGTTGGGTACCCCAGTCTCCCCTATTGCACCCACTGAGAGGCTTTCTTTGTAAGCTGTTATTCTACAACATTAGGTACCCCAGTCTCCCCTATTGCACCCACTAAGAGGCTTGCTTTGTAAGCTGTTATTTGGTTGTAGGGTGCGATTAGACAGACAGGATAAGTGGCATGAGATCTTAGTCCACGGGAATGACAACGCATGAGTCATATTATTATGATAACGTGAAGGAATTACTGTAATGCTGTTTATGAATATAGGCGGGGGATTTTAATTTACCATCAGGCGAGCCGTTAGCTTGTTGGTTATGCCAATTACATAAATAAAAATCGTAACATTATTTAGTTCTAAACTAAGCAGAGTCTCTACTATGGATACTATGAGTATTAAACATTACCAAGTTGATTTCTTTAATATTCGTTAAAAGGTATCAAACAGACACACAGTCAATCAGTATAGAATAGAAATCCTTTATTCGAATAAACTTAATTTAAGCACTTTTGAAGTCACAGTTATTGTTCTTTTAATCTACAGTTCATTCGGAAAGCTGTCTCATCACAAGAAGAACGAGCTAGAAACTTGTGTGCTGCTATTTCAAATAATCTTTGTAACTTTACATTTTAAGTCGAAACATGAATACCATCGACCACCTAGTACTAATATAGATATAATTTGCTACATAATTTCAAGTACGTCTTTAATTATTGCTATCGTTGCACCTAATTACTAAAGATTTTGAAACTTTAGTCATGCATGGTAACAAACACAGAAACTTAGAAACTTCCGCATTTAAAATATTAGTATGAAAGAATGGATAAATATAACTAAAAATAATCTAGGTAAAACTTTAGTCCATCATCGTAGTATTGAAAAAAAATATACGCATACTGATGTTAGTAAATGACTTCCATCTATCTATAAATTGATTGATTTGAATTGAATCTATCTATAAAATAATAATATTGCATAGTGTTTTTAGTCAAGATCGATATTAGAAAAACATCGACATCGATCATTAAGTAGCGCTATATGATAAATATCGAATGAGAAACATCGATGGCAGTAATCATCGAAATTTTTTCTTGTCCTATCTGCCATTACATTATAGTATATGACGTCATTTTGCGTTCCGAATGATCTCTTTCTGTCCATGTCATCGGTAACTTAGTATCAATTTAATGAGATTATCTAAGATCGAATCATGAATGAATCTGATGAACTGAATGAAAAAAACATCGATGTTTTTGCACTAAACATCGATGTTCGTCGATTAACCCTAGTTGTTTTCGACCCAGACATAATACCGTTACACCAATAAGTCACGACAATAACCCATGAGATTTGATTTAGACGTTTCGCTAGATTACGTGTAGCAAACACACCTGTGAAAGTACAGTTGCAGCTATAAAAGCCTTTATAGGGAAATAGTGAAAGATTTATAAATGACTGTAACCGTTTCTTTGGTAACAGGAGAACTAAGGAATATTAAAAAAATATAACATTAACAATATAAACATAACTAAGCTTCATCACTGTTAATGTATTATGGGGTGGTCAGAAGCGTTGTCATCGCCATTGTAAACGCATATAGTTGGAAGAGCTAGTAAAAAAAAAATTGGCACATAAAATGTTCTGTTATCTCCAGATTTAACCACGACCCCTAGTTGTAAATTACTAGGTCACGACTATTATTACTTTTTATTCTGTCGTAATAATCATCACGCAGTTTTAATTGAGAAGAATTGACAAAAAAGTGGGTTATTGACTTACTAATAAAGCTAAGCTTATTAATTATATCCATTTAAAAAAATGTATTTTTCAACATATTTTTTGAGTAATTTTGAATTTCTTAAATAGATGATTTCATTATTACTGTGTCTTTCGCAACTAAAACTAACTTTGTAGTTTTATATATATGTGTATATATTAATTGAAATCGTTTGTTGTGTAAGACATATTGCAGTATTGTGTTCCTAATAAATAAAATAATAAGTCTTAATAGATGTTTTTTCATTACTGATAAAATACTGAAACGTTCTAATTTCTCACTATCAAATGTGCCACAAGATTATTTTGCCCCATGTTGTAAAAAAATCTACGTCCAATATGTCCCAAAAATTTAATAGATAGAATATGTTTTGTTTGCATTATACAATAAAAGAAAATAGGTACATTTAAATATTAACGAAATATACAACAATTGTAATACAATTACAATAAGGCAGCTATCTTACTAATATTATAAACACGAAAGTTTGTGAGTTAGGATGAATGTTTGTTACTCTTTCATGCAAAAATTACTAAACGGATTTTAATAAAATTTTACAGTAATATAGCTTATACATCAGAATAACACATAGGTTATAAATTAAAAAGGTATTATGTAGATTGTGTGAAATATAATGTTAAATGTCAAGTAAGTGTGATGCAGA